CACCAGCACTCTCAGGGATTACCCTTCTGCCAGGACGATCAGGACTTTTAAATCACCTGCCCTTGGACTCATGCCTACGGCTCCCTTCCGAGGCGTACTTTATACTTATCGACTCCCGGCCTGAGGTGAGCTACTCGGCTTCGTGGTCGGTCTTCAGACCCGGCCAACTAAGAGAGAGGCATGCGTTCAACATGAACAGGAAATGCTCCAAGATTCAGTCCTTAAGCGACACAGACGGAGTCACTACAAACCGCCAAGCCTCCGCCCGGTCTTCATTTCAATTTAAGACAGGTTCTTTTCCACGATAGCAAATATAGCCAACCGTGCCATATGTATATTCCTATATCTCGCAGGTGACAGGAAATCACCTGACTTCTACCGCGTTTAAGCAGGGCTAACCACTACACGAACCTGAGCTACATAGGATTCAGGGTATCAATATCTGGACAAGGATTGGATAACCAATGCAGCAAGTGTTTGCATCCAACACCTAAACTTAATGCAACAATATATATATATGTATATGTAACAATAATACTTTAACTGCATTTCGGAAATTAGGAGGCTTAATATGCTCCGGGGCTTGTCTGGGATCCCACACTGAGTCAGTGATAGTTAGATGACACTCGCTAAGTGAGCATCTCCCGTCCTAGTACTTGTCCAGTCCTTACACCTTCGGGATAGGTCCACCATACACCGTCTTTGGGTTCGGCTCCAACATCGCATCCTTCACGTGGTGCATCTCATGTACCTAAATGAGATGCAATATACAAGTACATAAATATGAAGAGACGCATCACAAGATAGCAAGCAAGACAAGCATAGTTTACACTAACACACTTAAGTACTTTGCGATGCTTAACTTAAACATCACACAATCTATCATGCTAAGGTGGCAAAGAAGACGACAACACCAAGCATGACACAAGTTTTCCAAGATCTCAGGTGCTCTAACTCAGTCATCATTCAAGACATAAGTCACACTTAACAATATACAAGCAAACACTATAATTGAAATCTACCAATTTCGGGACATGCAAACAGCAGCTACAAGATTTAGCTATAACTGGAGTTACACAAATCCAAATGACTTGCAAGAAGACATTTTGGAAAGATTATGAAATTGTATACAATTCATTTTTAATCATCTTAGCATGATTCTCAAGTTAACTAAGTCAAATATACCAATTTACAGAAACTGGTCCACAATTGACAGAGATCAATCAATTCTGTAACCCAACTTTAAACAGGCATAACTCACAAACCACAAAACCAAATACCACCAAATTTTAACAAAAGCTAGATACATGAATTATCTACAACTTTGCTATTATCACCAAAAGCTCATTCAAACCCTAACTAGATCAAACACAAGCATCTTTCAGATCTGCTCAGAATACAATCAAAACCTGACAGAAGACTTAAAAGTCATGTAAGTCCAACACTATCAGGCCTATGGCCTTATAAGTTGAACACAAGCAAGATCATGAAATTTGCTATAACTTTTGTATTCACTACAACCATAGCAAACATCATTTACACCACGAAAATAATTGCACAAACAAAACTGCAAATGCAACCCAACAGCAGTGGTACAGAAAACTGATAGAAACTTCAGAGAAGCATAACTGGAGTTCTAGACCTCCAGCAAACATGAACCATAACTTTTTGAAAAGATTAGGAAGTTACCTACAACTTTCTTATTCTCATATTAAGATGATTCTACAGTTAGAAGGGTCAATTAATTCAATAATTGCATCTCTGTTCAAAACATAGACAGAAACTGACATGCCACTTTAAACAGCTATAACTGGAGTTATACATGTCCAATAAATGTGGTTCTAGACTTTTTAGAAATCTTATTAAATTCTAAACAACTTTGTTGTAAACACCTAAAGCTAATTCTACTATTAAGAAGGCCCGACAATACCAACAAGGTAACCCTGTCAGAGTTTGGGCAGAAACAGCCACTGATATATAAGCAAATATAACTCAAGATCTACTTAACCAAAAATCATGATATTTAGCTTTTTGAAAAGCTTAATAAAAGTACTACAACTCATGTATTATCACAAAGTCATGATTCATAACCTATTTTACAACTCTATAAAAACTCATGTAATATTATAGATCTAGTACATAGAGAATTTTACAAGGATTCCAAAAAGTTCTCATTTACTATTTTACGAGTTTTCTACAAATTACTACGAATTTTCAAAGTGGAGCATTCAAATCTATAAAAACCAGAGAAAAAGGAAATTGAAATCTTGCATCGGAGTCCCTGCGGAAAACACAAATTAAACATGAACAAATGGATCCTTTTCAGCACTGTTCACTGGAGTCACTAGTTCTTCACATAACCCCCTGTCTTTTCCCTTATTGCCGCGCGAGGTCCATCGTCTTCCTCACCCGGCCGGAACAGAGCAGCACGCCGGCGCTCGCGCTTCCGGCCACCGTGGTGCTCACCGGCGGCGAAGAAGGGGTGGAGGAGCACCAAGGGAGCATAGCGGACCCGTAGGACTATCTTGCTCGGCCTGAGATGAGCCCGAACGGCCTGGCCGCGGCAGCGGCGAACTTGGCCCTCCTCGGCCATGGCGGCGTCCGCGCATGACCGGCCATTGCAGCTGCGAGGCGACGCGGAAGTGGAGGTGGACGGCAACGTGCGTGTAGCTGGGCGTGGAGAGTCCTAGGGGCAGCAGCGCTGGCAGTAGCGCGGGCAGCAGCAAGCTCGGCGGCGGCATTCGCGCGGCCGCGCGAGCGAGAGGCAGGGAGCGAGAGGGGCGATGGGAGGGCGAGCGAGTGAGCCAGAGGGAGCTTGGCATCCACCTCTGGAGGGCGCAGCGGTGCCAAGACATGCAGCGCACATGATAGCGAGAAGGGCACGCGGCAGCAATGGCGGGCGCACTCTGTGCATGGCGGCCACGCCCTGGACACGCGCCGCCCATTGGGGCGTTTTACCGAGCACGTGGCGGGCAGCAAAGAGATCAGCGTGGGGCACGATTCTGGGCCGTTTGCAGGCAAATTTGGACATGGACCCAAAAGCAAAGTTGCAGCCCACATAATGCTCTACAATTTCTATTTAAGGTGCACTGCCATAAGGGCTATGGATTAGCGATTAACTGTGCTCCAAAGTGATAGTGTCAGCGCATTGACAGCGATGAACAAAAGTCCAAAATTGATGGTCAAAACGAAGTCCAACGAGTGCCATCTTTTTATATGCTCTTCTCCATAATATAACCTTCAACTTTTATTTTTGGACCAACTCGAGTTGCTTAGCAAAATTTGGAGAACGCGGGATGTCAATGTCGATGTCAGTGAATTCCGGACTGCAAACACTGTCGGGTTGATTTCAGCTTTTCTATTAGACTTTGCGCCTTGTTTTGATCCATTTTGAAACCGAATCATGACTTGGTCTTTTAACAAAGTTTGTTATAATCAAACTTTTATTCAACTTTCATTTTTGGTCAAACCTCATATCTGGTCCAGAAGTCAACTTTATTTCTCGGTCAACGCAAAGCCCTTTTTGCTATAGAATCTAGGGTTTCCATGATTTTCGGATATTTTCTCCATCTTTGCTCAACACGAACCCTTCATAACTTTTGTTGTAGAGTTCAATTAGAGTTGTTGGAGCAAGGTTGCAAGGTTTGGTTGACGTCATAGGTTCCATCTACTTGATAAAGTAATTCATGCAAAGATATGACTTATCATTTCATGTGACTTTTTGATTCCAAACTTCATGAAACTTTTCCACGGGTCTAGATGGATGTATGGGGATGTAATGTACATGGAATAAGCATGTTTAACATTACTCTTGCATAATCTTAACAAGGGTCCATATGTAAGCAAATGTGCGTGGCCCAAGTTTAAGTTGGAGCTCCATCATGTAGATTTGATCTTGACACCGTCATTACCACTCGACATGTCATGTTTGAGCTCAACCCCATTGCTTAACTGGTGACAAACACCTGGGGCGTTACAAAGGCAGAGTACTGTGCTGTTGCAAATGCTATTGATGACAACTCTTGCTCAAGCTGCATACTCCCTTGCACCGAGCTACATTGGTGTATTGCGACAACATCAGTACTGTCTACATGTCTTCGAATCCCGTTCAGCACCAGGAGCCAAACATGTGGAGATCGATCTTCATTTTGTTCATGAGCATGTTGCTCTTGGTGCTGTTAGGTTTCATGCACCAACTAGATGAACCCAAAACCTTAAGCCATTGGGAAGAGGTGGGCAATCCACCACTTCAACACTCCCACTCACGTGCAGCCAGCGGCGGATCCAGAAAAATTTTAGGGGGGCTAAACAAAAGTGCGACAGCAACATACCTCCGACTGCTGCTCGATCTTAAGTCTCAGCCCCACCTACACGATAGAACTTTGCCTAAAAATTCATGGGGGCTCCAGGGCTCCGGTATCGGTAGGGGGGCTCGAGCCCGCCCCCTGAATCCGCCGCTGCGTGCAGCCACGTACAAGGCGCAAACATGGAAATAAAGGAGCGGAGGACTTATTGGAACTCGAGATCTCTAGCTTTGATACCATGTTAGGTTTCATGCACCAACCAGATGAACCCAAAAGCTTAAGCCATTGGGAAGAGGTGGGCAATCCACTTATACACTTCAACAGGTGCCAAAGGGTTGCCTTCTACGGTGTTCACGGAGAACGTTCGACCCATTGATGATCCGATTGCGGGGGCATGTTAGACATATAGTTTTGGGTATAGATTGTCCTGGTCCATGTGCCTATATCATGGCCGGCCAGCCCACATACGTGTTGCCTTAGAGTCCTAATCCGGCACACCTGTAGATTGAGTTGTATTAGGGTAGGAGTATCAGAGGATGGTTCTATTTCCATAAGCTGCCCCTACTCACACCTATATATACTTGTACACCTCTATAATCAATCTATTATTCCCAACTTACATTATGCACTATAAATTGCACTTTGATGGTTAAAATAATGGTCATTGGCTTTGACTGCTGACTTGCTGTTCTGCAGGGTGTTCAGCACGAAATGTGCTTGAAGCTAAGAGACAGATAGCTGCAGCTGTTTCAGTTGAAAGATATGCTAGAAGATGGTTGTGTCGTTGTGCATATTTGCATCTTCGTTCTGCTTCTCTTGTGATCCAGTCTGGGATTCGCTATATCTTAGCAGTTCAGAGGTTGCTACACTTAAAGAATGCTAAAGCTTCTACTGTTATCCAGGTCTTTCTCATCTTTGATTCTTGTAAACTCTAGTTGTTTCTTAATCTCTTTCTCTCTCATTAGTTTTAACTTGTCAAGTCATGGAATTGTTTCATTGGATCGAGATTGTAATTGTCATTTGTAAATCTCAAGTAATATTGTATCCATAAACTTTTCTGGTTCGATCTTTGTTTATAAAGATGATGTATACTGACCAACACTGTTAATTTAATATATAGGCTTGGTGGAGGATGCAGAAGCTCCATTATTTCCATCAGCAATATCGACGGGCAACAGTTCTCATCCAGTGTTGTTGGAGACAGAAGCTTGCTAAAAGGGCATTGGGGAACCTTAAACATGTATGAACAACAGCAACTATCTGCAGTCCAATGTATCTTAAAGCATCCAATTTGAACCCTGAAAATAACAACTAAATTTTTGGAAGCTTCCTAAATTTTGTTCTAAATAAAAAGATAGTCTTCGTAAATTTTACCTGTTGATAGTTTGGTTGCTGCTAGAGGTAAGCATAAGGTTCCAACAAACGGTGCCCACAAGACGTGACAATCAATTTCACAATTGAATATATTCATTTTCCTTGTTCTTTGCAAGATATTAATATTTACTGCCATAAATAGTTCTATAAGGAATGAAGTGGTGAACTGATGATTCCTGTCTTATTCCATTTATGAAGTCCCAACCTGAAATTTTGCATATGATGGTACCAATTTCTGCATGCTTAATACAAATCCTTTCCATTGCTAATGACTACACTGTAACTATCTCATTTTTTTGTCCTAGATGTGATATAACACATTTGTTAACTTTTCATTAGTCTGCAATCTTGTGAAGTATGTTGCACACTGTTCACCAAAAGCTCTAGGTTTTGGGTGACTGGTTGATGCATGAATCTCAGTGTGGTATTAGAGCCAAAGTTCCTGAGTTATAGTATCGCCTAACACAATTTTCTTCTAAATAAATAGTTATGACAGCCTGCTTCAACTTTGATGAAGACTTGATATGACTTACTCCCTCCGTTCCAAATTATAAGTCGCTTTGACTTTTTTGGTACATCCATTTTGCAATGCATCTAGATATAATAATATGTCTACATACATAGCAAAATGGATGAACCAAAAAAGTCAAAGCAACTTATAATTTGGAACAGAGGGAGTAGTAACTAGCAGTGTTGTATGTTATGTCTTTCCTCCACAGATAAAGAATTTAAGTAAGATGGTGCATGGAAGTCGGACTCAATAAGTTAGTTTTCCGTATGATTAAATTCAAAAGGCATTCTTCTGGTACACTATTCCATAGTTCATCGCATTTATCTTTCTTGTGATAAATTTATCTTGTATTATTGATGATTCACATGTCATGCAGTGTAATTAGGTAGTGTGTTGGTATTCTAATTATGTATTATGTTGATATTTTAGTTCAATTTGCTTCAAGTACTGAACTTCTTCATTTTCAAGGCTGCTTATGAAACTGGAGCTTTACGTGAAGCTAAAGGCAAACTCGAGAAGAGCTTAGAAGATCTTACTTTGCGATTCACGTTAGAGAGGAGGCAAAGGGTATGCTTCTGTATGATATAGATCTTCTAATGTAAACATTTTCAAAGATGAAGTGCTTTTCCTTATCTAGTATGACCTTGAAGGACATTCACTCTATAAGGGTTTGGTGGGGAACAATTAGCAGCAATGCATCTAAAGTAGTTTAACATCATCTATATGTTTTCTCCATACTTCTCAACAGCCCAGTTAAGCACTCAATTATTTGTATATTAATTGATTTTTGTTACAGTATCAGTTATATAATTATGTGTGTGTGTGTGTACACAGCTTGCTACTGAAGAGTCTAAGGCATTGGAGATATCTAAGCTTCTCAAAATATTGGATTCAGTGAAGTTAGAATTAGAGGCATCAAATGAAGAAAATAAAAATAGTTGCAAGAAAATTGCCTCACTCCAACATCAGCTAGATTTATCATCCAAGGATCAAGAAGCTCAGCAAAACAGTCTTTCTCAGATAGAAGAAGTGAAGAGGGAGAATATTTTACTGAAGGTGTTCCCCACCTGTAAATTTTAAATTTAGTCCAATATCCCCACTTCGAGTTCAATTTGGATTCAATATTTCATGCCACTTTCAAAATCTTATGTTTATGCCTCTCATATTTTTCTCTCTCATCAATACTCTAGTTTGTGGTTTGTCTTAGTTTGTGCTTGGTCTAAGCGATCCTTAATTAATTCCAGTGTCTATTATGTTAATTTTGATAGGTTGATTAAATCTGTGTTCTAGATTTGTCAAACCTTTTCTGTAATGCAGGCAAAGAACACAGAAATGGAACAAGAGCTCTTAAAAGCTCAAAAATGTAGCCATGATAATATGGACAAGCTGCACGATGTGGAAAAGAACTATGGGCATCTCCGGGATAACTTGAAAAAGTAAGTTTTTTTTCACAGCAACATCATAGAGCTCCAGAGTTTTTACTAAATAATTTGCACGCTTTTTTCCAGCTTGGAGGATAAGATCTCAAATTTAGAAGATGAGAATCATTTATTGAGACAGAAGGCCTTGAATTTATCTCCTAGGCACAGCCGAACTGGGGTATATCTTATTCATTCTAGAAAGACATCTTTTTCTTTTAGTGTCCGCATGTAGTCTGTTCAGTTAAGAATTATTATGTTCTAATGAATGCTCTTATATTTGCTTATAGAGTTATCATTGCGGTTCTTCACCATGCAGTCCAAGACCATTCTTTGTAAGACATGCGACCTCACTGTCATTTTCATTGTAGATCCATCTGAGTTATGATAAATGAAATATTGTCTCCCTTCAGGAATCTTCACCTGTGAAACTTGCACCTCTCCCACATAACCAGACATAATCAAGAAGGTCGAGGATGAATTCTGATAGATATGAGGTTAAATATATCTTTCTCTAAATATTAAAAAGAACATCGTTTTATGTACATGTTCTTTCTAGATATTAGTCATCTCCAGGATGATTGTTTTCGTATTAAGTTAAGCATACTCAATTTTTTTCTTGGGGCACTTTCAGGATTATCATGATGTGCTCCAACGGTGCATCAAAGATGATATGGGATTCAAGAAGGGAAAACCAGTTGCAGCCTGTATCATTTACAAATGCCTTCTCCATTGGGGAGTATTCGAGGCTGAAAGAACAACTATTTTTGACTTCATAATTCACACAATCAATACCACTCTGAAGGTTAGGATCCTGTTCTTTTTCCTTAACCATGTGACTAAGGTGCGCTCATTATTGGTATCAACATGTTGCTTTTCAGGCAGAAAACGAGAATGACATTTTGCCCTACTGGCTAGCCAATGCTTCTGCCCTTCTATGCATGTTGCAAAGAAACTTAAGGTCAAAAGGATTCATCATGGCACCCTCTCGATCGTCTTCAGATACTCACTTAAGTGAAAAGGCAAATGAAGTGAGTTCCAACCCATCAACGTATTCACTTTTCAGCTTGCACTTTACAGGTCTCTTTTGTCTGTGCATTTGGATTTAAGATTCAATTTATCTCTAGCGGTAACAGGTTTACATTGGTCCTGGTCAGTCTGATGCGACTAATAGGGCCTGTTTGGTAGAGCTCCCAGAGCAGCTTGCTGAATCCAGGAGGAGCTCTGCCAAACAGTTTACTGAGCTGGTTCTGTGAAGTGAACCTCTGAAATGAACGGCTGGGAGCTGAAAAAGTAGCTTCTCTTGATTTACCCCATGCACAGCCATTGTATGTGTAGAGTTTATCCTAGAGAATCATAGAGAAACATTTATATTTTCTCTTAGAGAATCAGATTCCACAGAGTTCTACCAAACAGGCCCATAGTAGCTTACTTTTTCTCAAACGAGATCTTTGAAAGTTGCAGCTGTGTCTAGCAGTTCCCAGAAGAAACCTGAATTCTGTTCAGAACATGTCAATAGAGCCAATGGTGGACCTTGGGTTTTTTTATAGAATACATATTGTTACATATCTGATAAAACACATACCATGGCTATCTATCATTGATTTTGTAAACATTCTTACAGGCATTCCGGTCTCCTTTAAGAGCCTTTGGACAACAAACAAGCATGTCACACATTGATGCTCGATACCCAGCCATGCTATTTAAGCAACAACTAACTGCTTCCTTGGAGAAGATCTTTGGCTTAATTCGTGACAATCTAAAGAAAGAGATATCACCTCTTTTAAGCCTTTGCATTCAGGTATGTGATCTAACAGCTCCAGTTTCTTGCTGATTTCATCCAGCACAAACTTTATGGAAATTCTATGCTGGAGGCTGCACAATTTTGATCAGTTCATATTGGGAAGCAACGGCTTCAACCTTCTATTATCTTGATAAAAAGGCACCAAAACTTGCTCGAGGAGGCAGTGGAAGGAGGTCGAGGTCACCTGATGTAGCCTTGCAGCAACCGATAAGTGCTCATTGGGATCGGATTGTAAAATTTTTGGACTCATTGATGGATAGACTACATAAAAATTTTGTGAGTTACTCCATACAAACTTGCAAACATTCTGTCAGCAAATTCCATTGGTGTCAACTAATGTTACATGATTTTTCCAGTTGTTATCATAACTTCACAGTCATGCAAGTGTACTTGGGAGTTGATACTTAAGTAATTCCTATATCCTTTGAAGTAGCTAATAGATAGTTAGTAGCCCATACATATAACATATACCATAACCAACTTTTCATGCTCGTAGTATGTTTAGTTTTGAATCTGGACCCTGAGTATGCTCTGAGTATGTTCACATGATTGTGCAATCGATCTTCCATTCAATAGATAGAATTCTAATGTGGTTCAGTATCTTATGCAAGCTGGAACTTAAGTCCAAGGGTTCATCATGCATGATCTAGAGCAAAATTTGCATCCTAAGATTGGTAAATGAACTGTAAGAAAAAGAATCCAATCTGGCTGTATTCTGGTCCGCTAACTGTTTTGAGGGTTTCTTGTCAAGTGGTCATTTTGGGAATAAGAAAGGTGCTCCATTTGATTAATGTTTGTTGAATGAACAAAATATGTGCTTTTCAAAACCCCATTTGCGTGGAAGCAAAATGCTAGAGAAGCTTGGGTCCAATTTTTTATGTGAACTTAACGGTCTCTTTTGCACCTGTGCATTGCTATTATATTTTTAGGAAACCCACAGTTCTTAACTCAGTAGTTTGTATTCTTTATGATCTATTCACTCTTAACTGATCTTCAGATCAAATCTTCATACAGGTGCCTTCTTTTTTCACCCGCAAGCTAGTAACTCAAGTTTTCTCCTTCATTAATGTGCAGTTGTTCAATAGGTCAGGCTGTGCATATCAATTATATTTCAGAAAAAAAAAACATTCAGGTTTACAAACTTTTGATTTAGTTTTCCTTTTTCTAATCTGCAGTATGCTCCTACGACGAGAATGTTGCACATTTTCAAATGGAGAATATGTGAAATCTGGGCTTTGTGTGCTGGAGAAATGGATTGTGGACACTGAAGAGGTTTGCTGCAGGCCTTTCTCTCATTTGTATCTTGATCAGCATTCAACAGTGCACCTATTCTTTTCTACGTTGTAGCATGCAGGTGCAGCTTGGGATGAGCTGCAGTTCATTAGGCAAGCGGTTGACTTTCTGGTAAAACTCAGTATAATTCATTCATTCTAGATAGCTAGATTTTGTTGTTGTTTTTATGTTTTATTCTCATACACTGCATGTACTGCAGATCATTCCACAGAAAAGCAAAAAGACCCTTGAGCAGATTAAGAAAAATATTTGCCCGGTATGGACAAATTTCAATAGTGCTATTCCTATATGGTACAAGTTAGGCATTGATAGAATTATCCTTCCAACAATTGAAAACCCTTGTCTTGATTCAATGATTTCTCCTAGGCATTAAGTGTGAGACAGATATATCGTCTATGTACGATGTACTGGGACGACAAATATGGTACTCATAGTGTATCAGCTGAGGTACATTCTCATCTTCTCTTCTGTGACATGCAGTCATGTTTCTTGCTTTCATCTAACTCAGTGTGTTCTTTGCAGGTTGTTGCCAGAATGAGGGACATGGTGAGTAATGGCATGCAAAATCCTGTCTCTAATTCATTTCTTCTAGATGATGACTTAAGGTTAGTTGTCCCTGGAGCTTCAGTTCATGAACTTATATATTGTTCTGTCTTAATCTTTTGCATGATTCATGCACTCAAAACTTACATCTAGTCGATCCTTCCTAATTTCCAATTGCAGCATTCCTTTCACGACTGAGGAAATCGCAGAGGAAGTACCAGATGTTGACATGTCAAACATTGAAATGCCCTCATCTCTTCGTCATGTTCACTCTGCTCAGTTCTTGATGCAGCACCTTCAGCCATCTTATTTGTCTCGATGAATTGCCTAGGTTTGCTTTGGTAACAAATAGTGATGCTGCGGTAGTGAACTTAGAGGATTTGATAGGTCAGTGATAACTATAACCCATCCTTTTTTATTCAATCGGTGCTAATATTCATTCCACCATATGTTTTTTTGTTTTTATTTTTGCCCCAAGTGTTGATGTAGACTACATTCTTTATAGGTTGCTGTCAAATCTAAGATCCATTCTCTTTAGTCATCATTATGCTAAAGTCCTTTATATTACTAAAACTGGAATATATCTGTGGTATCTTTCCTTATCCTTGACCTGGACATTGCATAAGTTTGATAGGTCTGACAAAGTTCATATTATAAAGATGACAACAGAAGTATAGTGGTAAAGGCACAAAAGTATCATGATTTTCTTGAAGTATAAATTTTGTGTTGGCCAAAGTATGTGGATTGTGGACACACGTAATTTTAATTTAGAGTACGCGAGACCATTGTGTGTGTTGGTAATTCTTACCTGGCATAAAGCACCCATGACGTAGCAAATGAGAGTTACTAGCAAACATGTACATATATTGCATGGACTCCATAATTTGTTGCATGGTGATTTGAACAATTTATGGCTTAGAGATTTACTCAACTGATCATGGGGGTGTTCGCTTGAGCTTTAAGTCGTAGCTGCTTTTCAAGTTTTATCTGCAGTACTGGTAAACAATACTCTGTGAGATAAACAGCCACAGCCACAGCAGAATTTGTTACCGTTGCTTGACATATCTTGGAATCTAACTTGGTCTTATTGTTAGATGTGAGTTGTTCTAATTTGTATCAGTATGGATTGTGAGTCTGGGTCGCATGGGATATAGAAGATGTGGGTGCATTGTGGAAAGTAAAAAAAGACTGATAGAAGAATACAGGACAGGGTGTGAGAGCTTTGTGGGAAGGAAAAAAAATGCATGGAAGGATCCTTTGCCTTTAATGTTAACTTATTAAGTATATCAAAAAGAAACAGATCAAGTGATGTTTACTAGATGAGCTCTCAGCTTGAGCATCGAGGCCCTTTTGTTCTTGTAAATTGAAATATATTAAATTGCAGCTAGACGGTGACAATGACACGGCAGCGATGTCACTCTCTAGCTTGTCCATATGACCAACAATGTACGACAACATATGTCAATCAAACTTCTAAAGTCGCTATACACAGACAATAGCGCGAGTCCGAGACGTAGAACTGTAGACCAAGTGGATCAGATGTAACTAACGTCAGTTAGACATTAATACTCTTCTAAATAGTGAGTGGATAGCTACTGGCTTCTGCCTAGCTTAAAATCGTTTTCTTTAAGGAAGCTCCAGCGCCTGGGCGGTTACCGCCCGGATGGTTTAACTCCCTGCAAAACATTACTAATATGTTACGTGTGTTGCGTAATACCGTTTAATCTTCAAATGTAGAAAAAAAGAAAAATAAAAACTTCTACCGAAACATTGCCACCAAATTTGCAGCTATAAAACCATCTTATGCAACATCACAAACTGCCAAGTGCAATATGTAAAAGATCATGTACTGCAACATCAAAACTATCCACTACAACGTCACAAATTCGACGATGGAAAGCATATCTCAAGCTAGATAATCTCGTGCAACATAAAACAAGATCATGTATTGTAAGCAAGATCACAAGCTATCTACTGCAATATCACAAAATCAACATGAAAATGAAACATCTCAATCGAATCACTTTTCATTGTTGCATCATTTGGAAAAGGTAATGCCGACACCTAAATTCACTTGTGATAACACAGAGAAATGGCTCAAACTCATAGGTTGCTGCAACACTGGGAGAAAAAGGTGGCACAACATCAAAACTTAGTTTTTGCAACACATGAATAATTTATTGCAACGTTCAAAAATCATATGTTGCAACATCCCAAATGTCTCATGCAACATAGAGAAACAATGAATATAACATCATAAATCAGTTACTGCAACATCTCGACCATGCAGGCTTGGATGTGCAACAATGAGGGGATGGGTTCGAGGGTGGAAGTTTCAGTTCCAACTACAAGTCCTAGCTTGCCACCGTCGAGCTTGAAGTGACCATGACACCTAAGAGAGTGTGAATTAGGCTTTCTAAAATCTTCTACTCTAACTTGTCCTTTATTTCCTTCTTAACAAAACCATTGCAAAGATAATCAATCTAACGTGCAACTAAGGTTTTACTAAGTGTTGCTATCTCTACTAAAAATGAGTTATGCAACTAAAGCATTGTGTTTGGTTTTGGTAATTGAATAACAACTAGTGGACTAATGCTTTCAATGAGTTGTGATTGAGTTTGGGTTGACACTAAGGTGGTGAGCAAGGCTAGGAGATGGATGAAGGGTGATCACTCCATATGGAGCAAGCTCACACTTGTTGAGAAGATGAAGAGGTGAAAACAAGTTCGAAGACAAAAGGTATATGCTAGGGGTTTTTATTTCACTGGCTGAGACGCAATAGAGTGAGTGGTCAGATTTATGATAGATAATCATACTACTAAGAGGAGAACTCTAAAGCAAAATGGTTATGTAAGTGCCACTAGGTATGAACTAACTTTGCACATGTATTAGACCTAGTGACGTGGTGAGGTGCAAAATGAAAAATGTTTTTGAAAAGCAAACTTAGTGCCTCAGGTGAAGATGTTCATGTTTGAACATATTAGAGTTAGCAGATTCTAGTCACTTGTGCGTTTGTTACTTAGTGCAAATTTTTCTGCACCACCGGAAATTCTGTTGTGTAGTCACCGGAGAAAAAGAGGTGTTGCGTGAGGAGTTAACTGTGCATCGAGGTACTCACCGGAAATGCTTAGTGGTACCCCCACTCGCCGCACCGGATAAAGCGGCAGAGTTAGTAGGGTGCGGAAGATTTTTTAACTGCGGCACTGGAAATCCGGTGGGGGCCACTGGGCTTATCCAGTGACCATGGACCTCTCAGGTGGATGAGGAGAAAGTTTTTTGCATCACCAAAAATGTCTGGTGTGCCACACTTGAGAGGCACTGGACAGTGGCGGACCTAGTATTTTATTACAAGGTATGTCGTAAAAAATTTTCTTATGCAATTCAGTAAATTATATTCTAATTCGCCAGGTACATTAAATAACACGATAAGCCTTAGATTTAAAGATTAAGCTAGAAACGACGATAAATCTTGATATAAACAGTTCAAATGAAATACAAATAGTTTGAAATATAGCCATATAAGAGACTCACGGGTCACAGGATATGAATGTTGATGGATTGACGCTAATTATTGGTGTGTTGAACGAACTCTGGAACTGAAATACAAACAAATCATTAATCATTAATAAATAAAAGTATGTAGAACTGTAGGTACACAAGTTTTTTTTGCAAATATAAGAAAATCAATCTTAATTCTTAAACCTGCAACTCGAAGCAACGGGCCGTAAGCCGTCTGGCGTCTGCGGTCTGCCCTCTACCGTGGCGGCGTGGCCTTCGTCGGGCACTCGGGCCTAGCAGCTAGCGCCCCAGCAGTCTGTGGCAGAACCTCCTAAATTATAGGGCCCACATGCACCTGTCACTGTCCAACGACCTTTGACATCTATGCATATGTTCCCGGTAACTTAAGAAGACTGTCGGGTGTCCTCGGGGAACCCCGAATTATCCACGATTTCCGAGCAGGATCACATTACAGAGTCATTGCAGTATTACAATATTTATTCAAATATCTACACCAGAGTAAATCAGCGGAAGTCTTACAATGACTTAGTTTACGAAACAGTAGTTTTAAACCTTACAACTAAGTTCGATAATTAATACAAACCAAAGTAGTGGAGTGGCATTATAACATATTACAAAACACACAATTTAAGCTGCCCTGTCTAAGGGCCACACATTTACTTATCGTCAACGCACGGAACAACAGTCATGCAGCACGACCCAAAACAGATCTGCTCATGAGCCTCACCTGCAACAAGGGTCAACGAACCCTGAGTACAAAAGTACTCAACAAGACTTAACCGAAATAAGAATTGATAAACTCAGGAATGCAGGCTCATGGGATTCAAGGTAGGGCTTTAACAATAATCAAAGTTCTTTTGCGTAAAAGCTCTTTAACAAAATTCTTTATGTCAACATTTAAAATTCCACAAGCTCTTTAACAAAATTCTTTATGTCAACATTTAAAATTCCATAAGATCATATACAAAGCTGACACGATCTGTATTAAGATCATGAAACTTCGTATCCACCCCTTTCTCAAACCATCCTTAAGTTTCAGTTATTAAACTATGATGATGAACAGAGAAGTGAGTCTCCATAACTTAGGTGCAACGACGATTCGAACCGATTATAACCCAGCTGGGGAATTCCAGACCACACGACATATGTAGGTCCCCGACTTACATATATCAACCTACCCTCGGATCCTCTAAAACAAGAATGGGTCCGCGCCACCCGAGAATACAGTACTCCACCAATCCAGCCCATTGCCACGTGGGTACACGCTATTCCCGCCATCTCTCTACTCCCAGTGCGCGAGTAGCCATTCTCGTAATAGAATAGCCAAGTTAAGGCTTACCGGAGTATGTGGTTAGTACTACAAAGTCTCACCGCACGCAGTTCACCAACGGTACGGACCTTAATCGACACAGGCAGAAAGAACCCGCTCATAAGACATTACTAGGTCTTGTGGCTCACCCACACCGAGTCTGTCTGGTCTAGATTTATTACTCCACATTCCCATATCACATGATAACATAAGTAAACAAAGTTCCATTTAAAACTCGCAGGTGACAGGTAATCACCCGATTTTGATCGGTCTAAGCATAGCTAAGCATAACTAGGCATATACGATTTTAAACGGGTAACAAGATAGATATGGAACAACAAGGTTGGTAATGCAACAATTAGGTTTCCACTTGACTTCTAATCACTTAATGCAGTATTGAAAAGCAAAAGCGAAATCAATTTGTAAAACACAAGGTAGGGCTATATGCATCCGGGGCTTGCCTAGGATCCGACACAAGTCAGTTCAGTTAGCTT